AGATCTAAGAATCGTTATCTACTTATTTATGCACTTGCAGCTATGGTAACAGGATACATTTTCGCTAGTATGTTTATTCTATCGCCACACCTAGCAAAATAAATAGTTTCCTATATCATAATATTCTTATTGAGTTGTAGTTATTGTTTCAGGTTTTTGTCCCGATTCTATCTCTTAATAATTACTAATTGCTTGATTGAAATATAAGAATAAAAAGCTTGGTCTTTTCTGTAACAGTGTGCATCTATTTGATTACTGTACTAAAGCGCTGCTGTATCGTTACACCATTAGACAGAGTTTAGATTTGGGATTCTAGAAGTCTATACAGTCAACCAGTATCCTCTATCGTATAGCTGAATCTCTTTAGCGGCCATCCAAACTTTACAAAATCATATCGAGAATAGACATTAAAATCTCTGATTAGTTTACTTGCTTTCACTGTCAGTTGCAGCACTGCATAGTAAAGGTACTATAAGTTGTTCCATCGGCACAGTCTAAAGTTAATTGTCGTATTAAAATTAAACCACGATGAATATAGATTGGTTAAAGTGGCGTAATTATTTAGTTACACTCATCTTTGCAGCTAGTTTAATTGTTTTAGTTTTAGGCAGTACATTAGAAGATAACTTACAGAAAACTAATCAATGTCCGTCAGATTGCCAATGCCAGAATGAAGTCATGAGTTGCCATTCTCTATCCGAAACTATCTTGAATATTCCTGAAACAGTTAAACGCATATAAGTTAAGCAATTTTCTAAGAGAAGCTCGTTTCTTGGAAAAAGAGCTTCGAGACTTAGTTTAGAGAAATTTTATTTGCCTATGTGATCGTTGTCCACACTAAAACCACTGTGTACTCGAAATGGATAGTTACCATATTGAATACGCCGTTTGACCGATTGCTGCAAAGAAATGCTAATAACGGAGATACTTTTGAAAGAAATAGTTATGAAAGATTATAAATGATTTTAACACAGAAAATTTGATTAGAATCTCGAGCTAACACCACCGTAAAATTAAATATAGAAGCGACCTGCTTTGGTTTTAATTGATTTCAGCAGAATTCATTTACTTGCATCCTGATAAAATAAATCACAGGAACGGATTATCATGATAAAATTTTATAAAGCGTATGTTGCTAAAGGAAACTTTAATAGGTTTAATACATTCTTGAATTTCTAGAATTATTGAAGAAAGACGATTATGTAATAGTGAAATCGTTAAGAATTTAATAAAACTAGCAGCTACTTCAGACTTGAATTTAGATGGCACTTGTAGCATGCTTAGGGAAAAGGATCCCGTTTTCCTAAACGAATTGGTAGATAAAAATTATCTCGAAAATTCTGATTTTGATGGTGAGCTAGCATTAAACTGAATTCGTAACGATGCTTTAAATAAATCTCTGAGTCCTTAGTACTTTCTATCTTAACAGTGATGACCAACATGGTCTCCTCTCTCTAAAAGTTGTCGATATAAATGGAAAGCTGTTATAAATTATTTTTTATGTATTTTCGTAAAGCTCAATATATTTATGTCATGATTTTGATGAAAGATTGACAATAATATGGTACTTGAATTAATAATTTCTTACTAAATTAAAAGTATACTCCAAATTATGTCATGAAAGTTAACCTAATTACAATAAAACTTAATGAGTAGTTATCAATTTCATTAATGAATAACAGTTGTATTAGTTTTGAGTAGGCAATAATTATGAATACATTTTAATATACGTAAATTTTCTTTAGTTCACAATGTCCAGAATGAATCTGGCATGCTTACTGCACCTACAGTACGGTGCAAACTACTGCTGTGTATACAGGATACGGTATTTCAAGATATTTTGCCAGAATCCTTCTAGTTAAACCAGTAGGAATTCGAAGTCTTGCCTGCTCTAGATATGGAACTCCAAATATTTTTAACTTTAAAATTTTCTAAATTTAAATTAGATGAAAGCCAAAGACTAAAAAAGGCAACTCAGAATTCGAATTCGGTGTACAGCTTTAACAGTAAGTTTATATGATTTCCTGTAAAGCAACTTAGTATTGAATTATGGATTATATACTACTAGCCAAGTTTAGTGTGATGTGCGCTATACCAGCTTTTTATGCTCATCATAATCCTTATTTAGTAACTCATAACTATAGACTGTAATGGAAAATTTTATGCTAAAATACAAATGACTATACAGTACACAGAAGGGCGCATAGTCACTTTTTAGAATAGAGGTAAAAATAAATATGTAACTTATTGTAATAATTTGCATACAATAAAGCATGTTTAGCGAGCCGTGGCTGATGATGAAATGGTGGAGTACGTAGTAGCAGTGAGGCTATTACAGTTACACATTAGGATATGGTTAGCTCATCGTATTTTGACAGTTAGAAGTAATGCTTATGTAATACTGTAGCAGTTATCATACTGAAGTATAGTTAGTCTGCTAAAAATATTATTACTAGTAATGATCTGAATAATTGTAAAATAAGGTAAGGTGCTGCATTGAGGATGATTGTTGCTATAAATGATATGAAGGGTGTTAAAGTATGGAACTTCAGCTTACTCAGTAGTTCTTTCTAAAAGTCTTTCTAGTACCTGTATTCGGCTGCTGTAGAATTATACGTAGGTTGTCTTTGTGAAAACGTCTAATATACTTCGAATTTTTAGGAGTTTTGGAATTTTTTGATAGTTGACTGTATATCACATTTCTATTTGTAAATATACTAATTTTTGATAGTCTCGAAAACATTAATGCAGTAAAGAAGCTTGTATTGGCTGTTTTCATAAATATATGTAATAATTATTGTTAAGCATCATGAATGAATACTGCATATCCACTGAATTGGCAAGAGATATTAGCTCCAGAGTTTAATTTTGTTATTTAATATACTTCTGAAAATATCATTTTTTGACCTAGCTCTACATAAAGTATTAATGAAATAAGATACTACCGATTTGCACTTTTCGAATTGCAAGTTTAACTTAATCAATGCTTTGATATCGTTGTAATATGTTGTATTCATAGTAAAACCCGTTACTTTCCATAAATGCATATTCAACAAAAGTGATTGTGGATGGAAACAATTGGAAGGTGTTGATTTTCTCAATTGGAGAAGAAGTAAGAAATTTAAATTTAAATTATAGGTTTTAATTTCAATGTGAATACTGTACGATACTACAGCATGATATCTCATTCAAAGGAGGTTTTAAACTATTTCGCTAGTCATCATCACAGATAGTAGTGTTAAAATTTTGAAACAAGTTCTCTAGGCGGAAGACTAGCAGAAGGCATAAAACTAAAATAGTCACTTACTTTATTTTTATAACACGAAAGATCAGTATTATGGTTATGAATTACAAAGATTCAGATATCAAAAGCCAGATTACGGACAATTCGCTGATATGATTGGCCCTCCAATGATAAAACCCTACCAAGTCAAATCAGTTACAGTATGTTTATTATGGTCAATAATATCGTCGGTAACAATTTTATTTCAGCTTCAGATAACCGCGTTATAAAGCGTAGCTCGATCAGAACAAATTGTAGTAAATTATCACGATAATTGTTCTCCTCGATCTAATAAAATAGATCTAGAAATTTAGTCTGTTTTTATAACGTGCAGTGTATCACAGGCTTTAGATTGAAAAGTTATTCATAAACCATTTTTACAGGTCAGACTCTCATATAGATATAACGGAATTTATAATGGAGCAATTGATGTGATAGTCATATATCCAAGATATAGTCAGAAAATATACAAAATTTTATCATTGAGCATCACTTATACAATCGATCCTGCGATTAATATTTTTAAGCGCTTCTCTCCTTTGTATCAAGATTATCAAGTAAGTACCAGATTGGCAATTTTTTCGGTTAATAGTTATAACAATGTATCTTAGATAGTATTTTAAAAGAATATTTAATTTTCTAGAGAATAAAATTAATTTTTAACGTCAGGTGTCAATGAAGTATTTTGCTTTTTATTTTGGCTACAACATCTGTTGTTTAGGTCTGCAATTCATCATGCTTGTTAATTTTCATATAAAATTTACATACAATATTTAATATTTTTCCTTCAAAGCTACTGCAAAATACTTCAAAGAACATAGAACATATGATAAAGAGTTGATGCAATCAAGTGATAACCGTTAACTTTATCCATTTAAGATGATATTAAAATGGTTCTTCTATTGTTAACATAAAATCTTAATCCTTAATACGTTAAGTATAATATTGGACTTTCTGTTAATGCTAGTAATTCATACGATATCATTTCATTTTTTTATTATCAATAGATCATAATAAGGGGAAAGTGGGATAGTATTGCAACTGTTCAGCGTGGCCCAATCAAGTTCATCATATCAGGAATTATAATTTGGGCAGAAGGTAATGAAATTCAAATATTAAAAGTTTACTAAATAATTTTTATAAAAGTATGAATATAAACAAAGTAAAGTATAACTTTCATATTTTGCTATCAAAATTATTTTAAAGTTCGATTTGAAAATGAAAATCTTTTCCAGTGTAAGAATTACCTACGTAGATTCGAGTCTTAGTATCAATGATATAAGATTATATTATATCAGAGCCCTGGAGTCAAATAAATTTTAATAATTGGATTTGTGTTATTAGTTGTAACATAAAGCAGCTATAGTATAAATAAATTTTAGAAGCCAGTCGATTTAATTTTCTATCGAAATACAGTATATAATTGATTTGGATAACATTTTATCCATTGTATTAAAATGTTCGAATAGCTTTCTGGCATATTTGCTGCCTAAAATTTTAATGGCTATGGCTGATACTATAATTTTCGGGGCAACAATTTGCCATATTTCTCTTCGCCATTGTATTAGTTGTAGGTCTTGATATTGATAGTATTTATATTTATTACTTGAATGATGCTTAGCTTCTCTGAATAAAATATCATCGCTCTTGTTTCGACATGAACTCTTACGTGAGGACCTTTTAGTTTAATGAAATGAACTTATGTTTAGAAAAAACTTGTTACACTGGTACTGGACAGTCTTATCGAGGGACTGTAAAAGAATCTAGTAATGGAACTCGATGCTTGCATTGGGCTAGTGATGGCAATCCATACCAATCATTTTCTAAATCGGAAGAAGTTACCTCAAATTATTGTCGTAATCCTAATAGTGTTCGAGATAGACCTTGGTGCTATACGTCTTATTCATCTAACAGCTCGAATTGGGAGCTTGAAGATTGCAGCATTCCACAATGCCAAGACAATACGACAGATACTGTTAAAGCACCATATCCATTAGAAAGTATGTTAGTTTATAATTGATAAAGTTAATATTATATGATATTATCGCCAAAATACCGGAAGATCATCACATTAACATTTCTATGTTTTTTAATTTAGAAATTAAATATCCTCTTTCTATGAATTACCTTGACAACAACTATAAATATGGATTTGGTCGTCCATCTATTTACATTGACGGTAATTGGCGTTTAATATGCGATGATCGCAACTACCCTCCAAAAAGAAAATTATCGAGTAAAGCTTTAGATTTAATATGCAGACAGATGGGATTAGGCATATATGGAAGTCGCTATTGTAAGCTAAAAAGCGTTATAATTAATCATTGTTAAAAATTAAAATAATCATGTATACCCTTATATATCCTTAGTAAATAATGCTAAAAATATTTTAAAATAAATAAATTCATTGCAGCTTACCCATCAGGAATTGAAAGCGGAGTTTGCAATTCTGTCAATGATTTCTTTTGTCCATCTGACGCAAAATCATTTTCGGAATGTACGGTAAATAGTAGTGTGCAAATATATCATTCCACTCAATACTCGTTACAATGTTATCCATCAGCACCGCATTCAATATTATGTAAGTAAAGAAGATGTTGCTGAAGGCATTTACTGTTTTGTCTGTGTTATAAAGCTTGAGATTATTCTTCTATTTCATTTAATAATAGAACGTATTTACTAACTTAATTTAATGCTCACTGTTTATAAATTCTTAGCTACAATATCATACGCACTATCTATAAGTAATGGAACATTCGGAATAGTCCAAATCCGTTATGGTAGCCAAACTGGAGGTATTTGCAGGGATGGATGGAATACTTATTCTGCTGATGTTGTTTGCCGTGAGCTTGATTTTGCTGCAGCATCTTCTGATAAAGGTTAAATAATTAAAAGGAATAGTTTACATTATCTTCTTATTTATACTTATAAAGTTAGCCTTAATATATATCAAGTGATTTTTGCAGATAGCTGTAATAATCCTAAATTAACGTTTGCCAACAAATTGATATATTGCAGTTATAATGACGGGAGCAACATATCCTGCAGCGTTGATTACATCGGTCAATTGCGAAGGTTATGAAAAGTCGCTTAGTCAATGTCATGTTACTACTGCAAGCACTAAATTGTGTACTAAGACTCCAACAGCTACAATTTCGTGCATTCCTCATCAAACAGTATATGGTATTTATCATAACGATAGCTTACTTAATTAACTTGGACACAGTACTGCGTTAGGACGAACAGTCATTTGATTTTCTATTTTAAGAATACTAATATATGCTAGAGTAAAACAGTAAAAGTTAAAATTGATGCTAGTTGCACAAATTTTTAATTAGGTATATGTTTATTTTATCATTATTTCTTAGATTTTCAGAATCAGCCCGCAAATTGTTCGTTTATTAAGGGATTTTGTGGATGGAAGTCGATGGGAAGTCTACCCTGGATATGGCATAATGGCAACCATAAAGGCCATTACAATCCTACAGTAACATGTAAATATGTATACTTTTCGTAGCATTCGTAGTTTCAATCAATATAGTATATTGAGTAACATTTTAATATTTCCACCGTGCTAAATGTAATTTGGAACTATTATTCATGAAAATGTACCAGGGGCAGGAAGTTACTACATTTACGTAAAGAGATTTCCATACACAAGTAATTCAACAACAGATACCGCATTACTGGTTAGCCCTAGCTTCACTCCTGAGCAGGGACCAATTACGGTTAGATAGCAAATAGCGACATTTTATGCTTAACCTATAAATTTAAATATAACAAGTTGAATGAAAATCTATATCGATACTCCTTGATGTACCTTCGTTAGATGTATTTTTATGATTATGAGCTTGGGACTAGCGGCGAAAATGTTACTTGGCAAATTAGATATCGTACAAATTCCGGTCAAATGGGGGACGTTGAAGTCTGGAAAAGTAATCTATTTATGACCAATAACAGGCAGTTCCTGGGGCTTAAGAGGTTATATAGAAAGAAAATTCAATCCTCAAGAAGACTTCAGAGTAAGTGATTGTTACACACCACTAGTGACAAAGTAGTCTACAGACGCCAATCCTTGCGGAGAACGCCACTTACTAACTTAAAGAGGCGAGATTAGCTATATCACCAAATATTTCCGTTCCAACGACCAAATACTATGGTATAATTATAGCGTCACAGATGATGTAGACGAAATAGTCAGAGATTTACTATCATTTATTACTGAAGGAATCTTGGCACACAAGATTATAGTCTTTACAATTAAATATCAATTGATAAACTAGTTGACTATCTAACCGACTAACGAACTAAAAAGGAATCACACAAACAATATTTAATATTACTCAATAATTAGGACGAGCTTACGCATCGTAACAATGATATACTTGGATATTAACTTTGTCAATGTTGTAAATGAGTACAGCGCGTTACATTGACTATAGTAATAACATAGAAACTACTTTCATCAGCAGCTAGACGCTAATGACAATCTTCATTAGGTTCAAATTCTATATCTTAATATAACGTAAACAATAACTTGCTTTTATGCCTTCTACCTATACTCACGAGTAGCTATTATCAATGTTTTCTGTCGCATGCTTCAAGATCTAAATTTGTGTAACTTTTTCCTATAATTTTAAATACGTTAGTTCACGCACCTACCTTAAGATTAATTACGATAAGAATAAGATTGGACCTTCGAGCTATCTTATAAATTAAGTCTCTAACTAATTCACTTGCACTTACTCGAATATGAATTAGTTTTACAATTCTACATTGTTAATAATCTAACTTATATAATTATTACTAACGCAATGCAACGAGAATCATGATACAGCTCATTAAAGGACAATAGTAGGATTAGGATATATTTATTGTTTATTTTACATAAGTCAGGGTACGCCTATTACTTATGTAACAATTACAGCAACTCGCTCACAATACTTCAAGAACGCCTTATAGCCTAACTTAGGAGAATTTAACACTAGATGATTCATTCCAACTATTTCAGATTGAAATTGAGTTTACGTTTCATCCAACCGGCACCAATGAGCCGTCATCACGTGGGATCATGCTAAATAGATTTTGGATCAACAATGCCAAATGTAATGATTTCCTATCTACTATTTTAAAGCCTTAAGAATTGCTATTTCCGTATACTCTTGTAATAATTCTTTATTAATGCTTCAATTCCTTTTTTTAATAACGATTATAGCTACTGCATTTGGTAGGGCTTCCAGCTTATTTCAAGCTACCAATATGTATACTACGATTACAATTCTTGTTTGTGTAGTTGCAGCATCCTTACAATCAGTTTTATTATTTGGGCCATAAATGAATTCTTATTTTGCAGCAGCAAATGCATAGTAGAACTGCAATTTAGCACATTAGTAATTATAGGTAGATACAAATATTGTATCTGAGATATGTAATTGAAGAATAAATTTATTTTAATTTTGTAGTGTATTTAGATTTAAGTATAACCTTAATATATTCTTAAATATAAACATTTTGTATTGTGCCGAATATAGATAGCTTTACAGTCTATTTCAACTATACTCAAATAGAGCTTGTTATGTTTAGTTATTTATAGCACCATGCAGCCTTCGCTGTTTCCTACAATCATTTGCTATTTCTTTGTCTGTTTATGGTAAATGTCATATGTAGTTCTGCAATCCTGTTATCTACATGTGTTTTAGTTTTTAATCTATGAATATTGATGATTTCTGCCTTAGTATTGTTAGTTACATTTGCTGATATTAGTATCAACAGACCTTACTTCACGACAGCTTACACGCTGATCTACCTTTAACTACCACACTGTAGCCTATTTACTCTCTACAATAAATATTCCTTCTTCTAGTACACCCTTCGCGTAATTATTGTGACATGTCTACAGTTTCTACGTTCGCAGACTCTTCGAAGTCTCCACCACAAATCCAATAGTCAAGTTATTGAGTAATAAAGAAGCATGTTCTGTTGTAGTGATACGTCCAATATTAGATTGTATTGATACCTATGTTTGAGACAGCTATTAGACGTTTAAGAATAGATATTAATGTGATGCTAGTATTAGATGATTGCTAGTTAATGTTAGCCAGTCTATTAAATGTAGTGCAAGATCTATGTGACTTGATGTACCGTAATTGTAAAGATGTCCAACATCATGAGATGTTGAGCATTAATAGAAAAGTAGGGAATGATATTTTAAACCCATTGATTTATGCGATAAGAAATACGCGTATATTAATTATTTATTTGAAGAGGACTGTTTGGTCTGATGATTAGAGTTTGACTGTAGACAACTGTTGCTGCAAATAGATCGAAATAAATGCACTTTAGAAGTGTAGAGATAAGCTTCTATATTATTTTATTTATTTCATGCTCGGGACACTTTATTATACGGGTATTATTCCGAAAATTTTCTTACTGAAGTAATTGATGAATTTCTCAGAGATTAATCTCCATCGATTCATGAAGAAGTAGTTTATTGCGTGGAAGTTTTTAGTCTTGCAAATATACGATCTACGATTAGGTCCTATTACCATACGAGTGTCAATAAATTCACAATTGAACTATGATCTAACGAAGACAGAAGAAGGAATTTTCCAAGAATAACCACCATCAGCGTATCAAATCAAATCATTTCCTAGAACATTCAGTCTATAATTTCAAGTTGAGTATAACATAAGAAATCTAAGTCTCTGTTTAATGAATCAGTCCCTAAGAAACAACAAATAATTATTTAAATCGTTGAAAATTAGTTAGATATCAATAATAATTAGGCTTTGGCTTTGCTTTTTAGTAATGCATGTTCTATCAAATATGGATAGAAAACGCAAAATATCTCACTATAAATTCTTGTACTGCTGCTTATTTGTTTTGTGAAATCACTCATCC